TCTCTCTCTCTCTCTCTCTCTCTCTCTCTCTCTCTCTCTTTCTCTCTCTTTGACATCTGTATGTGGATGCGTTAAACCTTCAGCCCAAACTTAGCATGGCTAAATGTCGCAGAAATGTTGAAAACTTTTTGGACGCCTGCAGGAAAATGGGAGTCCCTGAGGTGAATATTAAATTTTTTGTGAATGCCAAATGAACTAGATGTGTTTCTCAAGGGCCACTGTTTGTACAGGTTTTGCTGTACTAGTCTCTTACGTACAGTGACAGTCCTAAATTAAAAACATTCATTTACTGGAATTGGTGGTCAACAATTTATCATACTACTGTTGTCTGGTTTTATTATTTATTTTAAATATATTATAAAAATGTGACCTTGACAAACATTGTCTGACAGTTTCAGTCTTTCCCATATTTCCTACATAGAATAATATCTGCCTTGGGGTATTACCGCCAACTGAGCTGTTTTGCATTTAAGGGAATTTCGTCTTATTCTTATATGGTGAAAGATTACCTGTAAACCTTATTTTATACACTTTACAGACTATACCCGACCACCGAATTTCCTGTTTAATTTAGGACCGATCTGGATCTCAGTCTGGGAAACCTGTATGGTTAGTTCAAATGCGTTTCTGACAATGAACCTGTACACACAGGGCTCCTTGAAAACAAATCCTGGTAAAAATACATGTTATTACTTGTCTGATTTTGATCATTAGCCACCCCTAATCTGATTGGTTGAAGCAGCTGAGATTGCTTTACACTGGTCTGTGATCAGTCACGCCCTTGAAAACATTTTGGAGTTATTTCTCTTTTGTGTTTATCAGCTTAAAGAAACTTCTGGACCTTCTCTGGTCAATACACTCTTAAAAATAAAGGTGCTTCACGATGCCACAGAAGAACCTTTTTGTCTAAATGGTTCCATAAAGAACCTTTAACATCTGAAGAACCTTTCTGTTTCATAAAAGGTTATTTGTGGCGAAAGACGGTCCTTCAGATTACAAAAAGGTAAGAAAGAGATGGTTCTTTAAAGAACCTTTGACTGAATGGTTCTTTGTGGAACCAAAAAGGGTTCTTCTAATTTGGCATCGCTTGAAGAACCTTTTGAAGCATCTTTATTTTTAAGAGTGTAGATGTTGCGGAAAACTGATCATAGAACAGCATTTAAAGCCACTTCCTTCATATTACCCTACTAGAGCTGCATCATGCCGTTGTATTAAGATGTTATCATCATGGCTTTAGGCTTCATCCATTTCTAGGGCTCCATTCCTATTAAGATGTTATCATCATGGCTTTAGGCTTCATCCATTTCTAGGGCTTCATTCCATCCTGTTAATGGCTCTGACCTGCTCTCTGATAAATGATCATGTTTCCTTGAGCTGTGACAGAGAGAATTGCAGTGAACTGATAAACAAACGACAGACCATGACACATGAGTGGAACAAATTTTTGTGTAAATTGTTTATAAAAACCTTTATTTCATCAATTCAGTGTGTCATCAATTCAATTTGCATAATATATTGTCCTGTCCTGATAAAGCTAGAAGCAATTACAGCTATCACTTCCATGAAAATCTTTGTATGTCTTAACTAGCCACAGCGAGCACTATGTCCATGTTCCCTTGAAACGTGGACAAAATGTTTGTTGTTGATATGATGTATCTCTTTTTGTGTACAGGAATCAAGTGAGGGTTGTTGGTCAATTTTGGTTCCATTTTTGTTGCTCAAACTGCGCAGAAGTTTCTATTGGTTATGCCATCCTACCAACCAAAAATGATTATAATACCATATCAATAGCCTTTCTAGAAGGAACCCAGATGTTGTCTTCTGCTTTATGGGTTGAGCTTGGTCCAAGCCATTCATAACAGGCTGTTCTAATTAGCGTGTCGTACAGGAAGCTTTTAATTGTCATAGCCTGTGTCTGTAGTAGCAGTAGCTACTACGAGTCTGCATGGCCGCTAGCTTTGTCACCATGTGTCTTTTGTGTTTGCTATCCTGATAGCTGATGTTAATCAAGCTAGTTTATTCTGTTAGCGTGTTTAGAGCTAATATGGCAGGCCTTGTTTGTTCGGTAACTTCTGGTCATAGTAAAGTTTATATATCATTGCCTTGTTTATCAACTTAACCGAGTTGTTGAGTTATGCAACAGTGTAGCTTGACCTGCTCTGCTCTTTACTGGCTTTTGCAGCTCTCTTGCTTTGTATTATTTTTAACGCTGTAGCTTGACTTGTGCCTGGCATACGCTCATTACTGCACATACTCCGCTAACCACTGTGCGCCTGCTAACAGCATCTGCCCCAGCACACCTCACACCAGCTACAGCTGCCTCCTGAAAGAGAGACAATGACTGACAATGTTCAACCTCACTGTCAGAAAACACTTTTTCAGAAGGCAGTAAGAGGGTCATTCTGGAGAAATGGTGCCATTTGTGCTTGAAAATTTTAGTTTTTTTTTTTTTTCAAGGTTAA